TAATCTAACCTAATCTTATCTAATCTTATCTATCTAATCTATCTAATCTATCTAAACTAATCTAATCTATCTAATCTATCTAATCTATCTAATCTATCTAATCTATCTTATCTATCTTATCTATCTAATCTAATCTATCTAATCTATCTAATCTATCTTATCTTATCTAATCTAATCCAATCTAATCTAGTCTGATCCAATCTTATCTATCTTATCTATCTTATCTATCTTATCTATCTAATCTATCTAATCTATCTATCTAATCTATCTAATCTAATCTAATCTAGTCTAATCTAATCTTATCTAATCTTATCTAGTCTAATCTAATCTAATCTAGTCTAATCTAGTCTCACCAAATCTAATCTAATCTAGTCTAATCTAATCTAATCTAATCTTATCTAATCTAATCTAATCTAATCTAGTCTAATCTAATCTTATCTAATCTTCTTATCTAATCTTATCTAATCTAATCTAATCTTATCTAATCTAATCTTATCTAATCTTATCTTATCTAATCTAATCTAATCTTAATCTAATCTTATCTAATCTAATCTAATCTTATCTAATCTAATCTAATCTTAATCTAATCTTATCTTATCTAATCTTATCTAATCTAATCGAATCTGATCTAATCTATTCTTATCTAATCTAATCTAATCTTAATCTAATCTAATCTAATCTTATCTAATCTAATCTAATCTTATCTTAATCTAATCTAATCTTATCTAATCTTATCTAATCTTATCTAATCTAATCTTATCTAATCTTATCTAATCTATCTAATCTAATCTTAATCTAATCTAATCTAATCTAATCTTAATCTAATCTAATCTAATCTAATCTAATCTTATCTAATCTAATCTAATCTTATCTAATCTAATCTAATCTTATCTAATCTTGTCTAATCTAATCTAATCTTAATCTAATCTAATCTTATCTAATCTTATCTAATCTTATCAAATCTAATCTTATCTAATCTTATCTAATCTTATCTAATCTTATCTAATCTAATCTTATCTAATCTAACCTCTGACAAATGGCTGTAGCTCGAAGCCTGCTTTGAGGTGCTTGCGAAAGAAGGCAGTTTGATCAGGCCGCAGGCACCAAAGCTTTGAGTGGTGAAAACCGGGGGCTTACAATGAATAAATGGCTTATATGAATATTGATCACCCATTAAAGCTATAGTTGTTCGAGATCATAAACGTATCCATCGTGAGAATCTCTATATCAACACCTATCAACAAACCAGGAGGGAATGACAGAGGCTAAATTTGACCACTCACTTCTGCTGTGCAGGACATTGCAAACTGCACCTGGGCTTTTGCATCTTCAGGGCATTCACACCCGGACATTTTCTCAGGCTGGGGAGGTCCTGGATTTCTGGAATGCCAAAAGGGCGCCTTCTAGAAATAGTTGTGCTCAGACTGTTGCATCAAATATGGCGAAAATGAAGCATACTCAGACTTTCAAAGAAACACATTATTCAAATTCAGATGAAGAAATCCCTTGGTGAAAGCTTTCTTTTTGCCACGGCCCCCCCAAAAAAACAAAGGGCGCACGTCGCAGGTCTTAGCACCTTTGCCATGGAGCGGCTTCACGAATTTCAGCCTGAACAGGTGCTCCACGATCCATGGCTAGCTGCAAAGTACCCATAAATGATTATGATAAAACCGGTTAATAGTGATTAATGGTGACTAGTGGTGACGCATAGTGACTCATAGCGATTAACGGTGATTAATGGGTGATCAATAGTGATTAATGGTGACTAATGATGACTAATGGTAATTAATAGTGATTGATAGTTATCAAGAGTGATCACTGGTGACATAGTGATCAATAGTGATTAATGGTGATTCATGGTGATTAATGGTGACTAATGGTGATTCATGGTGACTAATAGTGGTTAATGGTGACTAATAATGATTACAGTAATGGTGACGAATGGTGATTAATAGTGACTAAAAGTGTTAATGGGGTTCACTCTGGTAATCAAACATGGCAATGGAACATCTCCCACTCGGCGGAGATTTATAGCTAGGAACATTAGTGAACTACATGGGAAGTATCCTCCGTTGGCACCATCCCTTTTACGCAACCATTAGAAGGTGACAGAAGGTCTTGGTCGTTGCTCCATTGTTGAAAGGTTGCATCACCATTAGCCATCATTAATCACTATTCATGTATTTTCACATGTTGTTGATGGGTTGCATCCCCAGATCTTTGTGTCAGTGTGAGCATGAGAATCACCCGCAGCGCTTTTAGGATTCGTATCGTGACCGGGGCTTTCTTGAAATAGGGGATTCCCCAAAATCATGGGTTTCAAGGCTAAAGTGGTCTAATTTAGATGATTTGGGGATACCTTTTTTTTAGGAAACCTGCTGTTTCCAAAAATCCGCAGGTTGCATTATTGGTGTGGGCATTTTCCTCCGTGCGTTGCAGATCGGAGGACTTGTTCGAGGCGGGCAGAGCGTTGCCTCGATGCTTCGTGGAGGTTGTCTTTTGGCATTTTTGGCATTTTTGGAGATGAATTTTCTTGGGGAACTGGAGAACACTGCAGAATTGATACGACTTGACCCAACACTGGACCTGTGGAGAATTCTGGGCAGCCGAGGCCGTGCAAAATCATGTGGTGAGGAGCCAAGTTGACGGCGCATCCGCGATTGGAAACCGGCTAAATCGGCTAAATAGTTGGGTCCCCCCCAAGGCGATAAGTGAGGCGAAACGTCGCCCAAAATCCTGCCGTTCGTCTGACCGTAGACGAGGCAGGCTTCCAGTTCTGGAAACCATTTTGATGCACCGAGGCTGAAAGATACACACAGTTTTCGCCAGATAGCCTGACCGACTGGTGTTGGCGGCTTCGCAGGGAGAGGCCTTCTGGAAGCATTTGGAACATATTGGAACGGTGGTTCCAATGCGCCAGGTTTGTCGAATGTGTTGCAAGCCTTTGCTTTGGTGGGTCACCGCGGAAGCCAAGTGATCCTGGAGGCTGGAATCCCTGGAATCCCAAAAGGAGTTGTCTGCCACAAAGCCCCAGGGGATGGTTGCGATCCCGCCCATTTCTGGAAAGTCATTGAGATATCGGGGATGGTCATGGTAAAGGTACAGTTTTTTCTCAACATTCTTTGGAAAGGGATGAAAGGGGAAACCATGCTGGAGTTTTTGGTCCTTCATTGTTCAACACCACCACATCAGAGCACCAAAGTTCTTGATCAAACATCGGTGTTTCCCCCCAAAAAATCCCCGAACCATGGGGTTTCCCTCTCGAAAATGATCAATCAGTTGGATACTTTGATCAGATTTGATCCTGAACATTTTGGACATCCCCACATGTCTCACATCAACGGCTGGGCTCCAAGCATTTCAGCGGTGCAGATGTAGCGTAGCTGGGAAATCGGTGCGGGATTTCCCACTAATGACCTCGTGGCCGCGGTATGCGGATGGTGCACTCGTGGCAAAGTCACTTCGAAGCAAATGGATGGATAGCTATGGATAGCTATGGATAGCTATGCATAGCTATGGATAGCTCGAAACCCCCAAATCCGATGATCGTCATTCCATTCAAGGGCTATGAGGGAGGGGTAAGCATTGGGAGCTGCTACACATTGGAAATGTCAAAACAGAAATGAAGAACCTACTGCCCGCAGATTTGCGGGAATGATTGCGAGATGTAGGGTTGATTTTGGCATACTCAAGACACAGAATGATTTTCACAGTACGACTGGAGCAATGGTGGATTGGATGGTTTGCTCGGTACTGCACAGACGGTTAAGGCCGGTAGCGAATGATCATGTCAAAGTTACTGTACCCCATTTATGAGTATTTATGAGCAAGAATCATCCACAATCAGCGAAAATTTGGTTGGCGACCCATTTTTGGTACTGCGGCCCTTGAGATCATCCCGCTCCACTTGGCCCTCTTAACCTGACCCCACTGGCATTTTTTGTCAGGTAACATCGCTTAATCTTTGGTGGAAAAGCCCTTTCTACCTCCCCAAAGCTGCAATATCCTGCAATGTTGATCGATCTTGATGTTGGCCTCTGCAGTTTGTGTTTCTGAGGCATGTTGATCAACAGTGCACTTCTGTTGACTTTGCCGCGGATCTCAGCACAGGAGTGTCAGCCCCTGTGTTGGCTTGACACGCAGCGCACAGGGAGATGTCAGGTGAGTCCTGTCTACATGGCTTCGTTGCTGGATCGGCTGAGTCAAGGAAGCATTTGGGGAGAAGTGGCCACCCAAAACTTGGCTTGTCGAAGTTTGAACAGCTCAGCTTGTTCAAGCCCTGAATGCAACCTCCATGACGATGGGAGCTGCATGATGCGTGCCAACTGGGTTGGGAGAAAACTGGGTAATGCTTCGGTGGGGACGAAGTGTGGCTTGCTGGGGCAGATCATGGCAGATGAAGCCACTTGCTATCAGCTGGAACAAAGCGCCTGCAGCAGCTTCACTCTCACGTCATGTTCCTGGGACCTGGTCCGTGGCGTTTGTGGCATTTCTCCCTCCCATGTGCTTGTGTTGCTGCGTCAGGACAGGAGTTCCGCAGTGGTTGATCCTTAATCCAGACTGCAAAGCAAATATATTGGAACTGCCGACTTGGAACACATCCCCCAGTTGGGTATGATTGTCCTATATTGAGAAGCATTTTTGGGGATGAGTGGCTCCACCACCAACCAACAGATTTTGGTAATTTTTCGTATTCGCAATCCCGTACCTTCTGGAAAGCAAGCATGTGGATGGAATCGTCCCAATTCATACAGCTGATTTTCCTTCAAGAAGGGCGCGCCTTTTCCTCCATAGGATTGTTTTTGTTGCCATGTTTGGTTCCCATCTTTCGGTATTGCTTAGAATTTGACCCCTCCGGCAGGTGTTCCGAGAAGAGCTGGTTCGGATTGCATTCCGCAGGGAAAGATGTAGCTTGATCACCTCGCCCCAGCTTTGCAGTGGCTCCTGCTTTTGGGACAGCGGTACCTCGAGCTGCACCTTGAAGACGCTGGAAGCGTTGCTTGCGGTGATTGATGAGGATTGCCCCCTGAGGCCCGGGTGAGGGATTCCAGAGATCCTGAAAGTTGAATCTGTTGGCTAATGCTGACCCAATCTGACCCACTCCGGTTGAGCGCCACTTTCAGCTGATTGTGCCAGCCTTGCAGGGTGGTTTTGGGCATGCAGTCAGCCTGCTGGGAGCTCAGAAAACAGTGACAATTTCCACCAATTTTCAAGCTGGAAAGCTCTTGAACATTTGGGGGGTGTCCTAAGGTCCTAAAATGGGGCTACCCCCCAAATCATCCATAGGTAATAGGATTTTCCACTATAAACTAACCATCCATTTTGATCCATTATTCGTATCCCCAACTCTTTCCGCGAGAAGTTTCTGCGAGGCAAAGAGCTGAGCAGTTGCGATGAAGTCCGCGCAGATGGCCTTCAGGAGAGCTCGAAACAATTTTCTTGCATACTTGATAGATGTGCACACAAACGCATATATAATCATATATATATGTATATAGAATACATATGTAATATGACATACACATATAGTATGGAATACATACAAAATACTTAATGCATATATGCATATGTAATACACATATAGAATACAAACATATATAACACACATATTTATATATGTGTATAATAGTGACACACACACAATATATATATATAACATAATAATACATATTATATGTATATATATACATATGATACACATACATGTATGTATGTATGTATATATATATGTGATACATACACACACATACACACATACACACATACACACACATACAGACATACAGACATACAGACATACAGACATACATACAGACATACAGACATACAGACATACAGACATACAGACATACATCCATACATCCATACATCCATCCATACATCCATACATCCATACATCCATACATCCATACATCCATACATCCATACATCCATCCATATATCCATCCATACATCCATCCATCCATCCATCCATACATACATACATACATAATACACATATTTACAATACATACTATACGTATAAGACATATGTATCTAATACATAAAAATATATGTCATGTATGTAATATATATATATATATATTTATATAATTATATAATACTATAATAAATACATATATATATATCAGCATTTCATACATAATCATATGTATATATATAAACATTCAATACATATATATATAATGCGGATATATAATATTATAGTATAGGATAATATTTTATTATTTTTTAAATAGTATAAACATATATACATATACTACATATAATGTATTATATTATATATTATAATACAATATTTACATATATATATATAGTATAGAATTTTATATACATATTACATACATATGTTAGATACATATATAAGATACATATATAAGATACATACATTATATATTATATTAGATACATTTTAAATAAGTTAATACTTATAATTTAAAGGTGTATATATATATATATGTATAGATTATTACGAAAGCCAGCTAGCTGGCTAGTTGCTGTTTGCGAACGAAGTGAGAATAGGGGGTGTGGGGGGGGTGGTTGCCGAAAGGGAACGAAATCTCGCCGTGCCCCTGTGTTGAGCGCGAGAAAACGGAGCATTTTGCTGGATTATGTACCACTAGGCAATTTGCTGACGGTGGGGTATCGATTCCCCCTAGGTCCGCCTGTTTGGTGGCCGGAGAGACCATGAGGAAGTATTGGAAAATACAATGAAACTGCAGGAGAACATGATAACGATCAGAGGAAATCGTACAAAATCCCCTGGAAAACGGACGAAAACGGAGCGAATGCGAGGAACAAACCATGGAAAATCCCTAGGAAAATGGAGGAAACCGGAGCGAATGCTAGGCGCAAACCATGACGATGCAGTAAACATGCTGGAAAAATACAGTGAAAGTGCAGGAGAATGTGATAACAACGAGAGGAAATGGTGCAAAAAGGATCGGAAAATGAAGGAGACAGGTAAAACTCTTGGATTAATATTAATATTGAAAAGGTATGAAAATGCAGGAAGCCAGAGGAAATGGTGCAAAAACCTATGGAGGAAAGAGGTGAAAATGATAGGAAACATGTAGTAAAAAAATGCTGGACAAAACATATTGAAACCCCACGAAGAGGATGTATTGGAAAATACAATGAAACTTGAGGAAAGCATGATAACGATCAGAGGAAAATGCTAGGAACAAACCATGCAAAATCTGTTGGAACATGGAGGAAACCGGAGTGACTGCTAGGAACAAACTTGACGATGCAGTAAACATGTTGGAAAAAGACAGTGAAAGTGCAGGAAAATGCGATAACAACCAGAGGAAATGGTGCAAAAACGATCGGAAAATGAAGGAGACGGGTAAAACTCTTGAAAAAATACATTGAAAATGCAGCAAACCAGAGGAAATGGTGCAAAAAGGAGACGGGTAAAAATCTTGGAAAAATAGATTAAAAATGCATGAATAGATTGAAAACCCACGAAGAGGATATAGAAACTGCAGGAAAACATGATAACAATCAGAGGAAATCGTGCAAAATCCACTGGAAAATGCTGGAAAGATACAGTGAAGGAAAATGTGATAACAACCTGGCAGGAAAATGTGATAACAACCAGAATAAAGGGTGCAAAATCTGTTGGAACATGGAGGAAACCGGAGCGACTGCTAGGAACAAACGACGATGAAGTAGTAAACATGCTGGAAAAATACAGTGAAAGTGCAGGAAAATGCGATAACAACCAGAGGAAATGGTGCAAAAACGATCGGAAACTGAAGGAGACGGGTAAAACTCTTGGAAAAAATATATTGAAAATGCATGAAATGCAGGAAACGAGAGGAAATGGTACAAAAAGCCATAGAGGAAAGCGGTGAAAATGGTAGGAAGCATGTAATTAAAAAAACTGGACAAAACACAGTGAAAACTTACAAAAGAGAAGAAAGTAACCACAGGAAACGGTAGAAAACGCAGTGGAAACTGGAAGAAAAGTTGTGACAATATTAGGAAAACGGTGTACAAGCTAGGAAATGCTTGTAACAACTAGAGGAAACGATGTAGAAAACAGTACAACATGGAGGACACGCGTGAACATGCTAGGAGGCATGTAACATGTTAGAAAAATACAGTGAAAACCTAGGAACATGTTATAACTAAAGATGCTTTAAAAATATAGTGAAAACCAAGACAATGTTAACGAGCGGAAAAGTTGAGCAGGAAATCCGATTTGGTTTCTGTAGATAATGTTAGATGATGAGCAATGTAGTTTGGTGATAGGAAATAGTGGCTGACTCGCGTACAAGACATTGCCATGAAACCTTGGAGCAAGATGCGGATGGTATAGGAAAAAAGATGTATGAGTTGTAAGATTTGAGGAGTTGCATGGGAAAATTGGTTTCATGGTAATCTGTGTGAAGTTAGAAAACTGTGATTTCGTTCACAGTGTAAGAAAAATAAATACAATCTGCAGATTAGAGTATTTATAATAATGCTTAAAGCTGTTTGACGTTTTTTGGTGCCTCCCTGATTCTGGTAGTTTTGTGATAAGAACTACAAAAACGATCTACTGGTAAACGGAAGGAATAGTCTTTCCGGTTTAGAACTGAGTCGACTGTCAAGTGATGCATAGGCTCCAGGCATCTGGTTATTGTCACAAAGCATTGGAATGAAGATTGCGCCCAGGAGCCACCTAGGTTAGGAGACAAATGCTGTAATATCATTGTAAGAGGCCGTACTGAGAAGGCTGAAACAGAACTAAAAGTGAATCTTGTACTAAAACATCGAGAAAGAATTTGAATCTTCTAATGGCAATGACGGGAATGATACGCATCTGTACGTCCGTGATAGTATGTGTGCCTTTTAAAAAGGGATGTTTGGCGAGTGTGATAGCTGAGAAGATTTTCCGGAATGCCAAACAATTATCTCTATCGATCGATGTCAGGGATGATGCTATTCCGCGACATTTCCTGTAAAATACCTATTTTCCAGACCCTTGGGGGGTGGGGGGGGTTGGGGGGGTACCCAGGTCTGTAAATGGCCTAAATATACATACTTTTGATTTGGACTGCATGTTCGCCACTGTTCTATATTTCCCGTGGGTTTTGCATTGTTTTCCTCGATTTTCATTCGTTCTTATACCCTTTCTTACGTATGTTATAATATTGTCTTGGGTTTGCACTGCCCATTTTGCGAGTAGAGCTATGTTTTGATTTCTCACCGTACGGCCAAAATGTTGCGGAACTTCGCGGAGAAGCATGGACCACGATTCTGGGGAGAAAACAATTTAGACTTTGAGAGGTCACATGACCACTGTTCACACAAAAAAGCGGGTATTATTTATCTACAATAGGTGGGAGCAAACTTGCGCTGTTTTAAGATAAATGAGCAACCAAAGGCGGATTTACGGAACTTGAGATAGAACTTTTCACAATGCCGCAGTACATTGTAGGAAACATATTTGGATATAGAAGTTACAAAATCGTGGAGTTTACCCTAAAAAGGTCCATTTAATGATTGGAAAATTATGACCCGATAGCAATTGTTGATGTTGGGGCGCTTCATGTTTGAGCCATGCCATATGGATGAGGTGGAGTTTCACGCGCCCCCGCGCGAGTCAAAAAGCAAGCGCTGGCTTTCGTTCCACCCCTTCTCAGGTCAATGTGTATATATATATGTGTGTATATATATATATGTATATATACCCCTGCCTTTTACCTTCAAAAAATGTCAGTCTGTAAAAACCAGGTGCCAAACAAACCTCTTTGCAGGAGTGTGTCGCATCCAGTTCTGGCTGCCAAGCAAATCCGGCCACTTTGGAGCTAGATCTCTTGCGACATTCTGGGCTATTGACCATTCAATTGAAGGTGGGACGATCGATTTTCCTGCTGCTAAACGTAGGGAATGGATGGGAATGGATGGGAATGGATGGGAATGGGGGAATGGGATGATTGTTTATAGTTTTTTTTAATAGTTATGATAGATCATAAGTCGCCCATTGACTGTACCCTTGTTAAGCAGCAAGTTGTCCTGCTGAAACCGCAGGATCTGATCGTCCAGGCCATAGCAACTTGCGAAGCATTGTCGGATTGTGCTCAGTCACCTGTACCTCGGCAGCGGCTATGGATTGGTCCAACAGTCCCAACAGTCGAAGAAAACTGGGCATGGCTGGGCCATGTTGAGACATTTGAAAATGTGTTCTCTGGGGGAAAACAGTTTCTGTGAATGTACATGTTTGTTGTCTCTGTCACAAGAAGTGGGATGTCGAAATCATTCAAAATGATAGTCCTGAAAAGTGGTTGATTCTAAGCCTTGGGCCACATTCGCCAGGATTTCTGTACGAAAGATTTGCCTCTACCATCAAGCGCACCTCCTGCTCGATGGGGTGTCTTTTTCATGCTATTGTCAGGCTTTGTGCTTGAAGCCACAAAGTTATGACAATTTCTGTTGGTTTTGTTCCAGGACGAAACAACATGATTATAACTCATACCTCTTTGAAGACTCCACTTGTGTTGGTCTAGCAAGATTGAATCCAGATTCTATCATATTCTATCTCTCGATTAAAAAGAACGCAGAAGAACCATTCCAACAGACTTAGAACTCCCGCGGTCGGCAGCGCTGCCGTCGCTTTTCCAGTTTCACCTTTCACCCGACGGGAAGCTCCGGCACCTCCGACGCCTAAAAGGGCGGCCCGGCCCGGCACGGCTTAGCTCTCGCAAAAACGAAGCCTGCCGCGCAGAGTGGAACTGGAGGTGGTACAAAAAGGGGTCGGTTTTTCAACTTCTGGGAATACTGACCAACTGTGATCCACCGTGAGTTTCTAGATGTTTCTAGATGTTTCTAGATGTTTCTAGATGTTTCTAGGTGTTTCTAGGTGTTTCTAGATGTTTCTAGATGTTTCTAGATGTTTCTAGTTTCTAGATGCTTGGAGACAAAGCCTACTTCAATCGACCTGAAGACCTTGCCATTGGGGTTGTGAGATGTCGACCTGAAATCAGGCCACAGCTGAGTACATCTTGGCCAACCTGAAAGCTTACTCGCCCAAGGCGCACCACCGAGTTGATGTGCAAATGCGCTAAAGAAACGGCTTCTACGCAAGCGTATTTGCACAAGTGAGCAGTGTTCAAAACTCTGTTGAAGATTATAGAGGGTTCTATATACTATCCAAATCTATCCAATATATATATAATTATATATATATATGTATGTATGTATGTATGCATGTATGTATGTATGTATGTATAAATGCAATATATATATATAATATAATATATAATATATAATATATAATATATAATATATAATATATAATATATAATATATAATATATAATATATATAATATAATATAAGGATTCAGACAAAGCATTATTACATGGGAAATCGGTTCAACCAACCGGTATAAAGAGGCGAGGATTTGAAAAGAACTCATTGGTGACTGAAGGTGGCTTGGACCCGAGTAGCTTAAGAGCTAAATGGTTGGTAAATGGTTGGTAATTGCTTGGAACCCCGGTCAAAATTTGGTGTAGAGATTGTAAGATAGTGGATAGTGAGGCTTTACCCCACCAACCATTCAGGTGTGCCTCCTGTCGATTCCATGGAAGCTCAGGTTTTACGCGCAGCCACCCACCTTCATAAGGGGAGCCAATTGAACCAATCATGTGGTAAGAGTGAAATCTTGAGTGGGTAAAATTGGTAATGATAACAATCGGTTTTGGTCAGTCATTGGGTATGTCTTGTGGTTTACTGTACCAGATAGGCCGGATAGGTCTTGGAAGCTGCTCAAGCCTAGGCAACGACCCTCTGAGACCTTTGCCTTCCGAGATTTTTTGCTGTGTAAATCGCCAGAGAACCATGCCCAACTAGATGGAACCCTCCAAAAAATGAGAGTGTAATCGCCTCAAATCTACCAGTGCTATTATTATACATACTAGTAATGTTTTTTTTTTAGACCCGCATTTATGGTACATCCACAATCCCCCCAACTAACATAGGCCCTGAGAATCCTTTTTTTGGGAGGAATGTAGTTTTTCAACCCCCCCATTTGGCAGAGTCTATGTTAATTTTGGAGATGGTTAGGGGGATGTCCGACTTCCAAAGCTGGAACCTGAAGAGGCTCTCTCCAAAATTATTTTCACCATCAGCCAGACACGTGGATATGTTGCTGGGCACAGCCGGGGGAAGGTTGGATACACATGGGAGGAAATCGGTCTTATGATATGATTACAGATGTGCGGAAGCAACAGTTCAACAGAGTTTCTCGAGTCCTCGAGCGTTTTTGACCATTTCAAGACTTGGTGAGATCTCAAACAGCCAAGCTTTCTGGGGAGAATTTCACCCCAATCCGAAGAGAGAGGGAGATGATCCAAGGAGGATCGTGGATGGCCCATAAAGTGGTATCCCTCCAGACCCAAGCAGGAATTTCCAAGATCGTTGTTACTTCTCGTCGAGCTTCAGCACGTTTAAGGTCAACCTTGCCCTCCAAAACGCCCTGGCGGAAGCATTTGTGAGTTCTATGGATGGCATGACTGCGTTGGGGGCTCAGAGAGCATTCATGAGACGGTAGAGCTGTGACATGTGGGTCCTGAAATTTGGAGGGACCCCTGGAATCCATTAATTTTTGTGAATTTTGTCAAGCCCGCCAAGGCCCATAGGGTGTTGGGACTGATATCCTGATATCCCCAACTTCAGTAAGCCAAACGATTACACTTTCAGCAATCCAACCTGGCCCTGGAAAATCCAGTACAATCTGCAGTCCATCAATTCGTAGATGTAGATGATCCGACAAAAGCGGGGATTTCTCGACTTGCCATTTCCTTCAGGTCCCTTCTAACAGCCACCCTGATGGCTTTCTCCAAGGTGTGGCTTGGGTACTGTTGGTGAAGAGCCCTGGACATGGAAGGATGCACAGTGTTGCAGCTAGGAATCTGATTTCAAGACATCCCCCAAAAAGTAACACTGCGATCAGCTCCCACCATTTGCCCTGCTTCTGGAAGAGTTCGACGGGATCATTATCATCATTATCATCATTATCATCATTATCATCATTATCATCATTATCATGATTATCATGATTATCATGATTATCATCATCGCCATCATCATCATCATCATCATCATCATCATCATCGTCATCGTCATCGTCATCGTCATCGTCATCGTCATCGTCATCGTCATCGTCATCGTCATCCTCATCCTCATCCTCATCCTCATCATCATCATCATCATCATGTTGATCATGTTGATCATGTTGATCATGCTGATCATGTTGATCCTGTTGATTATGTTGATCATGTTGATCATGTTGATCATGTTGATCATGCTCATCATGCCCATCATCATGCTCATCATCATCACCATCATCACCACCACCACCACCACCATCATCATCATCATCATCAATCACCATTTATCCTTTATCACCATCATCATCACCATCATCACCATCATCACCATCATTATCATTATCATCAGCATCACCATCATCATCATCATCATCATCACCATCACCATCATCATCATCATCAACAACATCATTGGTATGATCATCGTCTTCTTCTAACAGAATCCTAGCAAATTGCTGCAACATGCACCCACCCCCACCCCACCTTAAACCATGATATATAATTAGATCATCTTGGGTGCAGCATCAAAGTCTTGCGCAAGGTCGAATGAGCGTTATCATCGCCCCATCCCACACCACCCCACTGATGCAGCATCAAAGTCTTGTGCAAAGTCGGGTGAACGTTAGCATCCCCCCACTCCACCCCACCCCATGTGAGCGTAGCATCAACATCTTGTGCAAGGTCGAGGGAACGTGGCCGAAGAAACTTTAACATCCCCACCTCACCTCACCCCATGTGAGCGTAGCATCAACATCTCGTGAAAGGGCGAAGGAACGTGGTCGAAGGAACGTTAACATCCCACCCCACCACACCCCATGTGGTCGTAGAATCGACATCTTGTGCAAGGTCGAGGGAACGTGGTCGAAGGAACGTTAACATCCCGACCCCATGTGAGCGTAGCATCAACATCTTGTGCAAGGTCGAGGGAACGTGGTCGAAGGAACGTTAACATCCCCACCCCATGTGAGAGTAGCATCAACATCTTGTGCAAGGTCGAGGGAACGTGGTCGAAGGAACGTTAACATCCCCACCCCATGTGAGCGTAGCATCAACATCTTGTGCAAGGTCGAGGGAACGTGGTCGAAGGAACGTCAACATCGCCACCCCACCCCGCCCCATGTGAGCGTAGCATCAACATCTTGTGCAAGGTCGAGGGAACGTGGCCGAAGAAACGTTAACATCCCCACCCCACCCCACCCCATGTGAGCGTAGCATCAACATCTTGTGCATGGTCGAGGGAACGTGGCCGAAGGAACGTCAACATCGCCACCCCACCACCGCCGTAGCATCAACATCTTGTGCAAGGTCGAGGGAACGTGGCCGAAGAAACGTTAACATCCCCACCCCACCCCACCCCATGTGAGCGTAGCATCAACATCTTGTGCAAGGTCGAGGGAACGTGGCCGAAGAAACGTTAACATCCCCACCCCACCCCACCCCATGTGAGCGTAGCATCAACATCCTGTGCAAGGTCGAGGGAACGTGGTCGAAGGAACGTTAACATCCCCACCCCATGTGAGCGTAGCATCAACATCTTGTGCAAGGTCGAGGGAACGTGGTCGAAGGAACGTTAACATCCCCACCCATGGTCGAGGGAGCATGGCCGAGGGAACGTTAACATCCCCACCCCACTCCGTTCCACCCCACCCCATCCTACCCCATGAAAACTGTGGGGCAAATGGTGGGCGTTGCGTCTAACACGACCAATGGCACGTATATAACATTAGATTCTGGGTTCATGTTCAAGGGGTAGGAGCACAGTAGCAGTTCACAGACAAGCGTAATATAATGCAACACAGCGGAATCAACTTGAGCATGGGATTGTTGGGATATGTTGGGATACACATGGCCCCATGGCTGTTTCTCATTGGGGTACCCCAAAGCCCATTTCGTTTCCATATTACTGATATTTAGAGATCAATCACTTGGATGAAAACTTGGGGTCCCCTTGCAGGTGAAGCTGGATGATGCAACGTTTTTTCGAAGAGCGGCTGAGAAGGTCAGGCTCTTCAGCATGGTGAACCATCCACGCTAGAAATCAGCTGGCTAGATAGTTGTTCTATGAAAAACGGAGGTTTCCCAAAATTCAATGGGGGTACCCAGTTCTTCTCCAGTCATGGATGACCATGAGGACTCATATTGAAACAACCGTGGTGACGACTGGGGATCCCCCAGCCATCGTGATGGCTGTATCACCTCGTTAAGGTCGCTCCAGTTCTTGCAGACTTTGACTCTTCAGGCTTCGTTCGTGGCGGTCTCAGCACTGCGGCTGCCTCACCACAGCTACGACGCTACGACGTTTTGAGTCGTTTGGTCCAAGGACTAACGAAAGTTTTTGCGCAAGCAGGGATTGATCAAAGCTTTGCACAGGTGTGGCTTTGGGAATTTCTGGCTGCATTTCACTGTGATATTGTTTAAATTGTATATATATATATTAATATGTATGTAAAGTATGTACAAATATATATGTATATATATATATATGTATATATATATATGTATATATATATGAAATATATATATATGTATATATATATATGTATATATATATGTATATATATGTATATATATATATGTATATATATATGTATATATATATGTATATATATATATGTATATATATATGTATATATATATATGTATATATATATGCACAATAATCTATATATATATATGTATATATGTATTAGACACAAGATTCGTATATATATATATTATTATTATTATTATTATTTATTATTATTATTAATTATTATTATTATTATTTATTATTCTTGTTCTTATTACATATATATATATACAAATAAACACACACATATATATATATATACGTATATAAATAAATATATATATATATATACATACACGCATACATGCATAATCTAAATATATATATATAGTACACACACATGTCTACACACACATATATATATATATACATAATAGACCGGAAACCGTGCTCGTAAAAGCACATGTTCTTAAAATACGAGGTTTCATCGCCATCAGGACAAGGCCAAGAAGCCTGCCGTCCTTTGGCCGCTACGTCTGAAGGGAGACGATGGAAACCGTCCTGGCTTGCGAGCCCTGGCCGACAAAGAGTCCGGCCAACTCTACTATGCCTCTGTGCCCTTGTGCAAGAGTGCGTCGGCCACAGCATGCCTCGCGGCCATGAAAAACAAGCAGGACGTCAGGGTTCCATCCCTGGATTAGATTTCAAATCTTCTGGTTGCATTTGCATCGATTAGATGACCATGGTTTCCGTATATATGTTTCCCTCCATCTCTGCATTGGCTTCGCCCCTCTGGTACCTAGGAGGGATTGCCCCTTTGGGACAGGACGCGTGCTCACGCATGCCGCTGCTGCTGCTGCTCACACCGAGCAAAATGCTGGAGATCCCCACCAGCATCGAAGTCGCGCTCACTGAGGACTGTCCTGCCTTTCAATTTGCTTCCGGGGTTTATGTAATTCTTCCATCTAGAATTTCTTCAAAATTCACGAACTTAAAGAAACCCAGCATTTTTCCGTCAAATAGCAACCGGGCGATTCAACTTTTCAAGTCGGCCAGAGGACGCATTTCACGGACGAAGGTGAAAAATGTCACGGATGGCGCCTCAGATATTGGGCACCTTGATGCCCTTGACCTCGGCCTGTTTGACAAAGAGGCTATCCTTTATGGCACTCGACAATTCCGTGGCATTCTCGCCCTTACCGATGGGCGCCGAGCATTATGTATCTGGACTGAGCAACGTCTCAGCCTTTACTCTTTAGTTTCTGGCTTTTGAGCCATCATCATTGGGACTGCACGGGTTGTCATGTTGTCGTGCTTTCTCGTAGGTAATTTGCTTCCTGTTGAATTCAACTTGTTCTGTTTTGCCTTCAGCATCATCCCATGCTTTTCTCACGCGCATGCACCCGCTGCCAGGCAAGGGCATGCTCTTCGTTGATCCGCTCCGCGAGCGCGGCATCCGCCTCCGGAGATCCTGCTGCAAGGCTTTCTGGCAGCCTATTGCAGCAGAGGATGATGATGTCGCTCCCGGCCTCGACATCACTCAGGACTTCCATATCCAGATCCCGGCATGCACCTTGACATGTGTGGCCAAAGGTGGACGCCCACACATTCACAATAATTGTTCATCTTAAACCCCACCGACTGAAAGATGTGCCGGTTTGCACCAGATGCCTTCTGCATGCCCCATCTTTGTCCGTGGCAGGATACTGTAGCATGCACGACTTCGGCGGCGCCCCTCGTGTAAACTGCCAAGTTGGCGCAGCGCTCGTCATGCGCCCTAGCCGCTGCAGAAGCCGCCCAGCGGGAGGAGCACATGCAGTACCTCAAGAAGTTGTCCCCAAGCGGCATTTTTTTGCTGTGCAACCCATCCGTACATGAGACCATCTAGGTTTCAGTTTTCTTTCTTTCAACTTGTTTTTGGCGTATCCTACGCAAGAGCATCGCACCATCATCCATCTAAGGATCGGCGAACTGCACGTGACAACCCGCCTTCACCATGGCAGCCAGGCCTGGGGTTGGCAAGACCACAACGTGCGTCCAACCGCCGAATCCACAGAGGTGCTTGCTCCCCCGCCGCCTCCTCTCACCCACCGCCAGCTGGCGACGGGCACGACGTCCCACATGCCCCCCAGAATACAGTGGGCGTTGTCGTTACCGGCAATGAGGAAGCCGAGACGCCCTTAGAGGACGTTCACTTCAGCCATGCATGTGTCAGTTAGCAGTTTCGAAAATAAAAGGATACTGGTCTGCCGTTGTTTTGGCTCTGGTTGCAGTCGATACCAAGAGAAAAGCCACTGCCACATCGACAAAGGGACCAAGCGGGCGATCATCTCAAGCTAATAGCACCACCAAAATGGATTTCAAAATTGGGCCATTTTCGCGTTTCACCACAGTGACAGCTCATGTTCATCGGGTGATCTCGCTGCATGACTAAAGCAATCTTCGGCAATCTTCTCTCTTTCACAGATGCGTTTCAAAGCTTCTACCGTTTTGTTCTGAAAGTTGGCATGGAGGTTGATGTACCTCCAATGCCAAGACTTGCAGTAGAGCAGCAAATCGCGGCTTTGAGATGACAAACTGCTGGAATGTAATCTTGAAATGCAGACCATGCAGCATCAAGAGCGTACTTGGCAGTTGTTTGAGAAGTTAGTAACGTAGCATCAAAAACGTGCTTGTTAGTTGTTAGAGAAGTTAGTGGCGTAGCATCAAGAGCGTACTTGGCATTTCTTGGAAAAGTGACTAACGTAGCATCAAGAACATACTGCACTTGGCCGTTGCTAGAGAAGCTAGTAACGTAGCATCAAAAACATAGTTAGAAGTTGTTAGGGCAGCTACTGACGTAGTTGCAAGTTGTTACAAAAATTAGTAAAGTAGTTGACCGTTGTTAGAAAGGTCAGTAGCGTAGTTGGAAGTTGTTAACGTAACGAAGCTATTTGAAAAGGTACTAAGTTTAAGGTTGTTGGAAGTTTTTCGGAACAAGGACGTTAATAGCCTACCCCACCCCACCCCATGGAAGATGCTAGAAAAGTTAGTAGCTGCAAGTTGTTAGGACCAAGAGCGCTGATAGTTCACCCACCCCACCCGAACCCATGAAAAACCATAATTATTGTTTTAATATAATTTATTTTTTATACGAGCACGGTTTTCGGTCCGTTGGCATATATATATACATGTATATTATATATATACTACTTAAACCATCTTACAGCCATATATGTATATATGTATATATGTATGTAATGTTATGTTATGTTATGTTTTGTTTTGTATGTAATGTGATGTGATGTGATGTGGTGTGATGTAATGTAATGTAAGCTAACGTAATGTAATGTAATGTAATGCAATGTAATGTAATGTAATGTAAATTAAGTATGTAAGTATGTAATCATGCAAGCATGTATGTATGTAATGTATGTAATGTATGTAATGTATGTAATGTATGTATGAATGTATGAATGTATGAATGTATGGATGTATGAATGTATGAATGTATTAATGTATGTATGTATGTACGTATGTATGTAATGTATGTAGTGTATGTAGTGTATGTAATGTATGTAATGTATGTTTTGTATGTTATGTATGTAATGTATGTAATGCATGTAATGTACGTAATGTATGTAGTGTATGTAGTGTATGTAATGTAACGTAATGCAATGCAATGTAATGTCATTAATGTAATGTATGTAATGAATGTAATGTATTTAATGTAATGTACGTAATGTACGTAATGTATGTAATGTATGTAATGTATGTAATGTATGCATATATGTGATGTAATGTAATGCAATGTAAAGCCATGTGATGTAATGTAATGCAATGTATTCAATGCAATGCAATGCAATGTAATGTAACGTAATGCAATGTAATGTAATGTAATGCAATGTATGTTTGTTTGTATGTTTGTTTGTATGTGTGTTATGTATGTTTTGTATGTTTTGTATGTTATGTATATTAAGTATGTTATGTATGTTTTGCATGTTATGTATGTTAAGAATGTAATGTATGTAATGTAGGTAATATATGCAATGCAATGCAATGCCATGTAATGCAATGCAATGTAATGTACTGTAATGTATGGTTTGTATGTTATGTTTGTTTTGCATGTTATGTATATTATGTATGTTAAGTATGTAATGTATGTAATGTAATGTAATGCAACGCAATGCAATGCAATGCAATGCAATGCAATGCAATGTATGTAATGTATGTAATGTATGTAGTGTATGTAATGTAATGTACTGTACTGTACTGTAATGTAATGTAATGTAATATAGTGTAATGCAATGTAATGTAGCGTAACGTAACGTAATGCAATGTAATGTATGTATGTATTTCGGTGATGCATGTAAATAATTACATAAACATTTCGATTGTAAGGGTATAGACTTAGACGAACTGATAAACTATTGCGAATGATCATACATACATACATATGTACGTACGTATGTATGTACGTACGTACGTACGTACGTACGTACGTACATGTATATACATACTCATACATATATATATACATATATATATACATAATATACATATATATATACATACATATACATATATATACATTTAAATACATATATATATATACATAAACATATATATATATACATATATATATACACATATATATACACATATATGTACATATATGTATATACATATACATACATATATTTATATATATAGGTATATATTTGGCGGATTCCCTGAACGCTTGCACATTGCCTGCGTTCTGACGTTGCAATTGGTTTGGTAAATGATTGTAAATGTGTATCTGCGCTACTATTTCTTATCTTCCTCGTTAATGTGAACACTGGATGAATGAGCCTTAGTTGACAAAACCCAGGGCTCAATATGGATCAACTAATATTAGACATGGCATCACTATCACCGTTTTTTCTTCTCAAAATACGTATCAGTCGGTTGTATTGGAATACTAGTTGCCCATACATTGATTGCCTATTTACAAAATATTCTTTACCACACATGTCGACAATTCTTTTTATCCTATCATAGTATTCTTGCTTTGCTCTTGTTTAAAATACAATCCTTATTTATTAGTGTATATTAGTGTTTATTATTGTATCCAATTATCATTGTCGATGATGTTTGTCATTTTTATTCTACATGCTTAGTGACTTAGTATCATTTAGAATCTAAAGTCTTCTGATCCTTCACAAAATCTTCAAGTTCTTATGCAATCCCTGGATCAATATACTATAATATACTGAATATCTTGAATACATTAGTCATGTTTCCTCAATCCCTGGATCCCTGGATCCCTTGACAGGAGATCACAGAAGAGGCGACAGGGGAACGCTGGATCTGTGGATCTTCACCCAAAAAGATGCGGCTTTTCAGATGATTTTAGATATTTTTGTATCTGATTGTTGTAACTTTCCATGTGGTTTTTGGATGCGATTTTGCATGTTCTATTTCAATTCATTTTTCAGACATGATCTTTAGATGTAAAAATAAATATTCAGATATATGACTTGATTGGATGGTCTTATCACACGACTCTTGTTTTTTTCAGATCAGGTAAGACACCTGTGGGAGTTGACCTGTAAACATCTGTAAACCATATGTGTTTGTCCAAGAATCCGGGAACCCCCATAGCCAAATAGACCCACTATAGTTGATGATGATGTATTCGAGAAGGGAAAACGAACTTCATGATCTACACCTCCTCTATTGGATGTATATACCCTTTTTTTTTGCTTTGCTTCAGTATAGTACATATGGTGGACTACAGTACCTCAAAATCTCATGATCCATTGACAATTCTTTTCCCCATTAGCCATAGTTTGGGTATCCCCAATTTTTGAAAGGCCATACTCCAACCATCTCTTTCCAAGCCCTAAACCTGCGCGATCCGACGTCAGGCACTGGAACGAATCCCGACTCTTCGAGCATTTGAGCTGGTGATACTCGCCAAGTTCTATCCTCAGCAGGTACAAAGACCCTGGGGCCAATACACTCGAAAATCTATAGATGTCTAGAGATCTCAAGATGACCAGCCATCTGTGGGTCCCCAACTTCCAGGGTTGATCATCCACAAAACATCGCCATAAAATTGGGGGAAGCACATCCTTTCTTTTCCGAAAAACACATCAACCATCATCAACCATCACCCTCCGCTCACCACTGAGGGCAATGCTCGGGATGAGTCAAGCATCGCCCCATTTGCTGGAGAGAATAGCCTGAACCTCAGCTGGTGGCGCTGGTGGCCATGGGCCATGGAGATGGGAACACCGAAACGCAGGCTGAACATGGAAGCAGCGTGCTTCCGCAAATGTCGCAAAAGGACAGAGTTGGGAGTGAGTTGGAGTGATAGAGACGGCCTTATAAGTATAAAGCCCGAGGTGCTGTGCTAAGGTGCCATGTTCTTTTCCTTCCAAGATATATACTGTAGGTCAAACCTGGTGACCCAGAAACCACCAAGACTCCTCCAACGCATGGATTCTTTAGAGATCTTTAAAACATATTCCACAGTAAACTCCCACATGTTCTGTGGATTTTCCATAGTCTTCCGACAGTTTTCTGACATTTTCCTACACTTTTGTCCGCATTTCCACCATGCCATGGTGCCAGGAGCTGGCGAGTTTTATTCGGTCCCTCAGTGGCCTGGGCTTGACGTCGGCGTCGATCACTGGGGAAGCGATCTTCAAGCAGGCGGCCATCAAGGCCACGGAGTGGTTGGTTGTAGATGGTGACGACTGGGGATTGTTTAGGAATTTTAGGAATATGTTTTTATATACGATATTTACCTTTGCAATAGGGGAGAACCAGGAGATCCAAGTGGATATGTTGATTGGTAAGATGGGGATTCTACTAGCTAGTAATATATTTACTATATAACCAACGCGGGATTCCAACATGGTCCAGTTTCCGAAGTAAAATGGAGGTGCCCCAAAGTCATCCGAAATTCGAAATTTTTAGTATTGAACGCCATGGTGACGACTGGGGATCCCCCATGACTTTAAGAACCCCTCAACATGTTCCGGTTCTCTGTTGATGATGTTGGTGCAGGCTACACGCCACCTCATGACCCGAAAGGACAGCCTGTTGCTGGTTCCGAAATGGAGGGGGAGAGTTGATAAGTTCGGCTACGATTCATAGATTTGTCTTGAATTGGATATATATCTATATATATTAAGTTTTTATAGACTTGGAATGCTTGACAGAAATTGACCAACATACTAAGAATGGGTGGACTCAACAACCAGAACAACTTAGCTGAAACAGCCATGACGGTCAGTTCTTACATCAACGGGACAGTTTTTTATTAACGACTGGACACTGATGGCAACCATAGCTCGGTGATTCCGAGATGTTTTGCAACCATCTCCGATGAGTGGACCTGTCATCAAATAGAATTGGATCGTCAAATACTAAAAACCTTGCTGAACATCAGCACATCGGCAAATCTTATAGCTTCTCTGCAGCCATCAATCTACCATTTTGAGAGCCATATCTGAGTGAAGCTATTTGGAGGTTTCCTGAAATAGGGCTACCCCCATTCATCATCCATTTATAGATGGGATTTTCCATGACATAAACCATCCAGCGATTTTTTTGGGGTATCCCCATTTCTGGAACCCCCCATGGTTGATTTGTCTTGATTTATCCATTAAAAATGCTGATTCTCCATCGTTTTTTGTATGTTCTTGGGGTACCATTGTAGGACACCAGCATTTTTCACATCGCCAGGGGGTTCCCCATATCTGAGTGCACGCCAGCAGGAAGACCGCAGGTCCAAGACGTCCGACTTGGCCTGTTTGTCCCGCGCCTTCGCAGGTGACCTCAGAGTGGGGAAAAACCTGGTTGCTTCCCGATTCTTAGGCTTGTCCCATATATATATACATATATATATAAAATACACACACATATATATATATACATATATATATATACACATATATATATACACATACACACACGCATATATATATATATATATATACAGGTGACAACCCCACTTACTAAGTTGCTAAGTGAAATGATCCTCGTAGTAAAGCTCCAATTTTGCAGGCTTGATACCACCCATGTTCTGTGGGGATACTAGAACCTATTGGGCTTGCCACATTAAACCCATTGTAATCAAACATGGCTTGCTTGAAAATCCTTCCTTTAGTTCGGTGATTTTCCAATTTAAATGGCAGTTTATAGAGGATTTCCTATTGCAATGTTTGATTGCCGGAGGGTAATTCGGTATCATCCCTGACATTCACTCCGATTTTATATTCCCATTATATACAGTGCCAGTATATTCGTGAAATCTATTCCTATTCAACCACCATGAAATCCCATTCAATCAGCTTTAAACCAGCCGTAAATCACCATTACATCCCATTAAATCACCATGATCCCGTTAAAATGAAATCACCATTAACTCCCATTAAACCACCATTACACCATTAAATCCCATTAGATTCCATTGTACAAATCGCATTAAACCACCGTAAGCTCCCATTAAACCACCATTGTATCATATTAATTGCCTGCTGCAAGCACGCCGACCATAGAGAGGTGGCCCAAGGGAGTTTGATGAATGTGCACTCTAGGTAGAAGCCGGAGAAAGAAGCAGAAGAAAAGGGAAGCAAAAGAAGAAGAAGAAGAAGAAGAAGAAGAATAAGAAGAATAAGAAGAAGAAAGAAGATGACGACTAAGAAGAAGAAGAAGAAGAAGAAAAAGAATAATAATAATAATAAGAAGAAGACGACTAAGAAGAAGAAGAAGAAAAAGAAGAAGAAGAAGAAGAAAAAGAAGAAGAAGAAAAAGAAGAATAAGAAGAAGAAAGAAGATGACGACTAAGAAGAAGAAGAAGAAGAAGCAGAAGAAGACGAAGAAGAAGAAGAAGAAAAAGAAGAATAATAATAAGAAGAAGACGACTAAGAAGAAGAAGAAGAAGAAGAATAAAAGAAGAAGAAGAAGAAGGAGAAGGAGAAGGAGAAGAAGAAGAAGAAGAAGAAGAAAAAGAAGAATAAGAATAGGAAGAAGAAGAAGTGGAGACGAAGACAGAGCCGTAAAACGGAAGCAGCTAGTGTGGCAAGTGCTTGGAATAACAACCTATTGACCGTATACCAAATTAGTATCGCCCCCAGAAATGCAGCAAAGTAGCGCCAGGTACTATATATGTATGAGCCTCCGGCTTGACAGTAGACCGCTGCATGGAAGGGGACAGGGTTGAAGCGGAGAGAGGTTGCCCCAAGGGAGGTGGATGTGCACGGTAGGTGGAAGCCGGAGAGAGAAGCATAAGATAAGAGAAGGAAGCAGGAAAAAAGAAGCAGAAGAAGCAGAAGAAGAGGAAGAAGAGGAAGAAGAGGAAGAAGAGGAAGAGAAAGAGAAAGAGGAAGAGGAAGAAGAGACGAAGACAGAGCCGTAGATCAGAAGCAGCTTGGGTAGCAAGTGCTTACGTTAACAACCTATTGACCGCATACCAAATGAGCACCACTCGATCAGTTTAGTATCGTGCAAGTCTTGCGGCTAATACCGGTAGAGGTCCGTAGCGCTGTAGACAGTTTCGCTAGCTGCCAGCACAACCGGTTTAGTACTGGGGAAGAAGGTAGGAGTAGGATTAGGAGCAGGAACAGGAGCAGGAGCATTATATCAGTCATATTAAATTAAATCACCATTAACTACCATTGAAACACCATGAAATCCCAATAAATCACCACTAACTTTCATTAAACCACAATCATATATCATTAAATCCCATTAAATCACCATTGACCACCATAAAATCCCCATTAACCCCCTGTTAAACCACCCTTAACCATCCTTAAAGCATCCTTACTTTCTGAGGCCCGTGCTGCCTATGCCACCGGGCCAGTGGCAGACAAGTTCCAGGCGGCTGGCTCTGAGCCGCCATCTGAGCTGTTGGAGGCGCAACAAATTTGATTTACCCTCTGGACAATTCACACCCATAGATCCCATCACCACTCAAAATAGTGGACATGAAATGAATTTCAAGCCTTATCTGGCTATGTTCATTTACGGGTAATTTCATGTCAATGGTTACCAGGAGTACCCGCACCAGGCGGGGCGGAAGTTGCCTTAGAGAGAGAGAGATATATATATATAAGACCTTTCTCATCTATAGAACTTGCATGCGCCGTGCGCCAGCCAAGCCCGTGCGTGCGTGCACTCTGCGAAAGTGGTGTCTTGTTTCACATGTCACATTTGAAGCTCCACTTCACACTCCACACTACACACTTCACACTGCACTCTTCACACTGCACTCTTCGCACTTCACACTCCACACTCTTCGCACTTCACACTGCACTCTTCACACTTCACACTGCACTCTTCGCACTCCACACTTCACACTTCACACTTGAAACTTCACAGTCCACACTTCGCACTTCTCACTTCTCACTGCTTTCTTCACATTCCACACTTCACGCTTCACACTCCACACTTCGCACTGCACTCTTCACGCCCTGTCTCACTGCACTCTTCACACTCCAAACTTCACACTTCACACTGCACTCTCTTCACTCTTCACTCAGCCAAAGTTGAGAAAATCTGCTGACAAATCACTATCGCAGCCTGGATGCAGCCATTCCAATACGAATTACGCTGTTACATTCAGCTGCAAAAGACAATAGTATTACGCATGCAGCCGCGGCACCGAGCAACCTTGACGCAGCCACTACAATGCGATCTGCAGAGACTGAGTTGCAAAACACAATAAAACTACGCGCTACGGTGTCGCAAATTGAAGCTCCAAAACCGGATCTCGACGCCAAAGCAGAAAAAAGATGAAAAAAGACGATTTTGAAGCATTTTTTAAAAGGATTTTTAAAAGGAAAATTGCTAGCGCCAAAGTTGAGAAAATCTGCTGACAAATCACTATCGCAGCGTGGACGCAGCCATTCCAATACGATTTACGATGCTCAGCTGCAAAAGACAATAGCATTACGCATGCAGCCGCGGCACCGAGCAACCTTGACGCAGCCACTACAATGCGATCTGCAGAGACCGAGTTGCAAAACACAATAGAACTACGCGCAACGGTGTCGCAAATTGAAGCTCCAAAACCGGATGGATCTCGACGCCAAAGCAGAAAAAAGACGATTTTGAAGCATTTTTTAAAAGGATTTTTAAAAGGAAAATTGCTAGCGCCAAAGTTGAGAAAATCTGCTGACAAATCACTATCGCAGCGTGGACGCAGCCATTCCAATACGATTTACGATGCTCAGCTGCAAAAGACAATAGTATTACGCATGCAGCCGCGGCACCGAGCAACCTTGACGCAGCCATTACAATGCGTTTCGCAGCATCCCGTAGCAAACCTGCACCTATCTACGCACACGGTAACACCAAATGACAACAATCATGCAGCCATTCCAATGCGATCTGCCACCACAGCTTCAAGAAGCGCATAGAACTACGCACACAGGAACAACCCTCCCATTTATTTGGAATCGTCATCAATCCTCCTTTTATTGGGAACAGTATACCCATGCTGTTTGAATTCCCATGGGATGGATGACCATAGACCATGACGCGACAGGTGATCCGCAACTTTTTGAAAGCGGCTGTGAAGGAGGCGACAAACAAATCGGCTATACCCATATACCCGAAGTATTGCCACATAGGACAACATTTACTATGATTAAGCCTACTGAAACAGCGAGACCCGATAGGATGGCAACCGGCTGATGGGGAAAGTGAGGTTTTGTCGGTTTTCGACCATCAGATGGGGTATCTCTCCAAGACAGTGCCCAACTTGGAACAGTTTTGGACATCTGTGTCACTGCGTCAAGTGGATATGTTCAAAAATTTCCGACTCCAGTTTTTTTTTGCATCTCGCATCTTTTCGCCATTTCAGAGTGATTTGAAACTGGCAACTTTTCGACATCCTCATTAAGGGCCTAACATGAACATAGAATTTCCCTATTTCTAACACACGAAATGAGGTTTGCTCCAATGGTCCAAGATTCCATGAGGATATCCAACCTTGGGGAGGCCCATGCTCACCTCGATGAGTTCCGAGCATCACCTTCGTGCTTGGTGGGTGTGCTGCTGGCTGCGTTTTAGGGGGAAACCCCATTGAACATGGCCATAGAAATAGATAGAAATAGTTGATTTACCCATTAAAAGTAGTGATTTCCCCTTGTTTTTTTGTATGTTTACCAGAGGGATTTGGGAATCTCAACGGTTGATCCATTTTGACCTTGAAAAACCTGGAATTCCAAGCTGTGATGCATGTGAAAAAACCTGCCAGATCTGGACACGTTCTTTGTGTGAGATCCCGTGCACGCTCTAATGGAACCCAAAGAATTTATGCGGACCATTTTCCTTTTGGACTCCCATAAAAATGGTATGTTTGGGTTGGATTGGTCTTCCGAGCGGCTTCCAAGGTCCTTTGGGCCGCATCACAATGTGGAGTTCCCTGTGACGCACTGACACAGGCCAAATTGCCAATGCTGCAGCTGGGAGTTGTCGCCGCAACGGCCCACCATATATGACGGCTAGGATTTTGGGGAGAACATTCCCAAAATGACAGACGACTTGGTGTCATTTGCGCAGCTAGTTGATGACAGATCCCGGACCACTGGACCGTCCTACGGATGGTTGATACAATTGTTGTACTAAAAACGGACCTTTAATAAAGGTACCCATGTCTGGTCACCATGGCCATTTCACGGGAACGCATGAAAGATAGAAAAGTCAAGTGAAACCCTATCAGAGCAATGGCAAATGAGATTTCTTTTTTTTGGTTCCTATAATGTTCTCAATATTTATGGTTATACTTTGGCTATAATTATGGTATGGTATAAGCTACAATACCCATGATGTGCCCAAGAGCTAATATGGTTTAATCAAGTGCTATGGTTGTGGTATGGTTCCACGGCCTTTTTACAATATAGCTGAACATTGGAAGGTTGATACTGGCCACTGGCTGTGTGTCTGAAGCCGCGAAAATGGGATGACCACTTGAGGGGACGGGACATATCTGCTCAGTCAAGGAAGAGCAAGTTCACATGGTTTTTAATATGCTGGTTGGTGGTTTGGAACATTTTTTATTTTCCATATATTGGGAATAATAATCCCAACTGACTTTCATATTTTTCAGAGGGGTTGAAACCAGCAACCAGTATGGTTTGTCTTATAGACGCTAGGAAATAAACGATATGTTTACAGTCATAGACAATCACCATACAATCAGATACAATAAGCATATTAAATACCCTGCCCTAAAAACTGGGATGAAGATCGCCCTTGATTTTTTCAGGTGGCCAAGGCAGTCCTACTTCCGCCAGACGCAGGAGGTGGCTGTGGTCAAACCTTGTTGGAGAATGGATTATGTTGGCTTTTGAGTATTGCTTTCCATTTTTTCTAGTATCCTAAGAACCCAAAATAATCTGTGATGGTCACCATAACCTATCATTATCATTGTCATATAGGTCTAACATAATCTAGTATATCATGAGATGATTATCCATTGATTAATATTATGATAAATGGAGACCTTTATGGATAAATTACCATTGCTATAATTATGATCATTACCATTATTCTGACATATTCTCATACATTCTCCTTGTTACAGGTACTACTACTACTACTACTACTACTACTACTACTACTACTACTACTACTACTACTACTACTACTACTACTACTACCACACATATATATATATGGTCACGCCTCCCCCCCATGATCTACCTTTAGCTATTTTTACTGGTATTTACAGTATAATTCCACTATTTTTCATGTTCACATTTTGGGTGTGTGTGTGTGAGTGCGTGACCTTATCTATATACAATAAAATTTATACATAGACACTAAGGACTTGAACATCTCATAAGCCATATATCTGTATATATATACATACATATATACATATACATACATATATATATAATATACATATACATATATATATACATATATATACACATATATATACATATATATATATACGTATATATATATATACATATAAATGCATATACAAATATATACATATATATATGTATATACATATACAAATATATACATACCTATGTATATACATATACATATATATACATATATATACACATGAATAAATGTATATATATGTATATATATACATATATGTATATATACATACATACATACATACATACACACACATACATACATACATACATTCATACATACATACGTACATACACACATACACACATACACACATACACACATACATACATACATACAAACATACAAACATACATACAAACACACATACACACATACACACACATACATACATACATACATGCATGCATACATACATACACACATACACACATACGCACATACATAAATACATACACACATGCACACATGCACACATGCACACATCCACACATACACACAT